TTTTTGTTTATTTAATTACTGTTTATAAGTAGTTTTTGTTATGTCAGTGGTTGGTTTCTTTCAAGGAGAAATCTTATCGTCATGCAAATATTATTTGAAAATATTAATTTCGTCAACCCAAAATTTTGTGAAAATTTCAAAATTTCTGCTATGACTTTGCGAAGAGATTATAACAGTGAACACATTTTTAACAAACAAAATTTTATTACCGTTAGAGTTGAATTCAGTGGAACTAGTTTAGAAACATCAACAGCCAAAAACCACTCGTCGAAGGATGAGTTCAGTCGAAAATCTCTTCAGCGATTACAAAGCTCCATTGTCTTCTATGCTACATAGCGGGGATCAAGCAAAAACTCTCCATGATACTTTGGTATGATGGACAGCGTGTCTAATATTTTTATATCGAAAATTATTTGAAAGGTCACAAAGGCACGCTATGAATTGAGTTGAGTTGATGCGGCTGCTGTTGTTAGCACACTTAGGCCAATAGGCCCATTGTGAAAGCAGGCGAAAGACTCGCTATACTCTGCACGAAGAGATTATTGAAAACAACTTGAAAGGGCACTTATTGAGTCTTTCTTATATATTCTCTGCCAAACCTTCCTACATAACTAAAGAATCAAGACAAGAGTAGACATTATAAGCCCCACAGCTTGGAATTTAACTTTATCTGCGAAAAAAGGAGTAACAGGTTACACTAAAAGAGAGTAAATTCTGGACGGACCCGACATCAATGCCTTTCATCGTATTACGTCAAAAAATCGGCTTAGAAGCAGTGAAGCTGTATCTGTAGATAGATCGGCAGCAGTGAAGCCTACCTATGCATATCTTCCACTCTGTTGCAGGCCATAAGGACATTTTGTTGAACGAAAATTGTTATAATTGATTCCTACTAGGCTTATAATTCTGCTCGCTGTGAACATTCATCAGCAAAGATTTGTAAGGAAATTTTGGATCGATATATCTAGTTTCTTTCGTAAATCAAAGAAAGTACTTTTTTTTTAGTAAGATCGAAAGTAGACCTGGTACGATGAGGATTGTCATACAGCAGGGAAGAGCCGTTTAATTCGTAATGTTGTGTTGAGTCGGATAGATACCGAGACCTGTAGACGGAGACAAAAATGGAAGGGAGTGATACCTGATGATGACTTGGAAGAGTTTGAGAAGCTGGCGAGCCGATGGGTGTAGTGCTCCACAATTCTATGAGCAATTGCGGCGACTAACATAAGGTTTCAAGGCCACATCATACCCATATAGTAACCGAAAGATGAACTGGTGATGGATAGCAAAATATGTTTGAGGAGAAAACACTTTTCCAGCCTTACGTAAAGACAATGAGAATGAAACCCAATTTGTGATGTTTAACTAGAAAACTGATTGTCCATTTTAAATACAATATGGCACAAGAAGCCGTTGGTTTGCTGGTTGAGCTCTTCAAAGATATGTTGGCGAACAACTGACGGAGAACATGCATCAGCTATTTTGCAGTTTATGATCGGAAGGAAGTTAGCTTGATGATTAAAACCCAAGTATGCTTTGATCAATCAGAAGAAATCGGACGCTTCAGGCTTCACCTAAGCGGTGTGGCTGCACAAGTCAATCATAACTTTTGACCTGCTCTACGGTGTGGAGACTGACAATAGCCGATGAGTCGGCTTTAAAAGACTTCTGCCGCAACTACACATTTTACACACCTCACCGCCGTAACACCCGACTGGAAGAGGGATTTGCATACACGAGTTATCGACGCTGCTAACAGCGACGAAATGTTGCCAGCCGCCAATGTGCTTGCATATTGTTAAATATATTTATAATATTCATCAACTAATTTAATCATTTATATATATGAATATAAACACCAATCAAATGTACATACTCTATATGATAATAAATAATTAATTAGGAATTAAGTTCTCATTTCTTTTCAAAAAACTGCACATTTTCATTGCTTATTTAGTAGTCGTTTAAAAAAATCAATGCTGGTAACCTTGTATAACAGCGAGCAGTGAGCTAAACCGGTTTTACGTGTAAAAATAAAGCGTCGCTGGTTTCTGCGAGACAACCGTCAGTAACGGCAACGGCAAGCCGTGACAACTTTTCATTTAAATGTCACTTTTCGAAGATTGGTAGCTATGGCTGGGAGGTATGTAAGAAGGGTAGTTGCAGCATTCGTGAAAAAAATTTTCCTGAACTCAATGCGCATTGACAATGGCGAATGCCGCAGCTGCTGGAATAATCAACTGTATGAATAATATTGTGTCATGACCAAGGATCAGAGGCTACGTTGGCTATGTCACGGCATACAGATAGGCTAAAACACTTCAGTTCCAAAAGCTTTTGATTCAGTACTCGCAGGTGAGTGTAGGAAAAGGAGGAAGAGGAAGGAGTAGTAAAATCTGGATTCACTGGGTTGCCTACAACATTTATGAGAAGAAACGGAAAAATGGAAAAACAATTCTTTACTTTTGCCTTATAGTAAGGCATCAGCTAAGTTTTTATTGCTTATTCGTTGTACTTGGACTGCATATAACACCGCTAATATGTTTCAATAGCCGAAACTCTTTGATTCCGTGCCAATTTTTCAGATGCCATGCGTTAAAGAGATATACAACAGCCTGAGGTTTTGCAACGATTGTAGAGATACACATCGAATCTCTGAGAAAGCTCGAGTACACATAAAGGGTATCAGAACTAATAGGAAAATTGAAGAAAGAACGTTGGCGCAAGGGTATTACAACTGAAGGCGAACACAGTGATGATTAAATAAATATAATTATTTATATATATATATAATTGGCGTATTGCAACAGCTGAAGTGATTTTCCGCCTCATATTATTATTTACTATAGTTAATTATGTAGTGTTTTTTTTTTTTTTTTGGTGAACTGTAAGTAGGTGGCGATAAGAAATTCTTAAGAGAGCCACAAAATAAAGTCTCATTATTTAAAAATAGTGCACAACTTTTTACTATGAAAAATTTAAAATTAGTTCATATCCAGTGATATTTAAATTTTTTTTAGGGCGAAAATAATTTTGGGCTGACTGTCAAAGTTTAAAAACTTCGATTAAACATTTAATTCAATATTTTTTTTAATTTCCTGCTGACGTGTGTTAAATATACATATAAAAAGCTTAAGGATATACGTGTTTTAATTTATAAAATAACTAAATAGGTAAAGAAATATCATAAATATTGTAGGCTTATACTAATAATACATTAACTTGTTCTCTTTATATATATATATTTTATTTTTTTTCTTTAAAATACAACATTTCGCTTCAATAAAATTACGTAAAATTATATGTTATATATGTATGTATGTATGCTTATTTATGAATTCCATTAGTTTCAATATCGTCTGTATGAAGTTCTTCTAACTTCTCCCTTATTGTTGTGGCGTAGTTAATATTCACATGTACAGCTGTGACAACAGTAATTAGTATGTTTATTTGTTAGGAATCCGTATGTGGTTGTATATATTTGTATTAGTGTGTATATGGTGGTTAATAACTTCGTATTACTGCTTTGCCTTATGAGCGCCTAAAAGTAGACTACAATTTTCTATACACACACATTTCTGGGTTTAACTATTTGAATATCTGCTCCATTTTCATTCTGCGTTTTATTAAAAGCAGCAACAAAGCTTTGCAAATATATATATATATATATATAAATATAAGTATAAGTGTTATATACATATATATGTAAAGGTGGTTATTGAATGTGTGTAATGCAGGCGGTGTTAGGCGTGATTTATTGGTGCTAACGCTGGTGTTTTGAGTTTGATTAATTTTTTGTTTAGTTGTTGTTGTACTGCTGTGTTCTGTGCTTCAGTGCTACTAAGGTACGCAACATTCCTGATTTTTTATTATTATTATTTTTTTTTATTTAATAATTTTTGGTTATTTATTTGTTTAGCTTTATTCTGTAGTTGATTTGTTCACAATTATTTTAATAATTTTCTTTTTAATTAAATTATAAATTAGTTTAATTTTTTTTTAATGCCTCAATTCCATTTCAATTAACAGTCAAATCAACCATATTTGTACGTATATATCTATGTATGTATGTATGCAGGCCAATTAATACATGCAGTTACACGTACGCATTGGATGTGTAAAGTTTATTTATATTTTTTCTTGAAATTTTCTTTAGAAAAAGTTGCACAAAAAATTCCAAAAAAAAAAAAATTGTGTAAAAATATTTACGAGTGAAAAATAAACCGTAAATTGACCTTGTTTGCTTGCATGTATGTATATAGTATAAATATACATAAAAAGCTGTAACATTCATTTTCTACCTTAACAATGCGCCTTCATACCAGCACTTTATTTTTGTTTTTGTAAATAGTAACTAACATTTCTTCATAAATCTCTTCAACCTCTGTGATCGTGTGTTTTTCAATGGTGTTTTGTTGTTCTTTTTGTCAAGCTAAAATCCTTTAGAAGAATTCATTGTTTTTTTCATTAAGTTCTTTTAACAAAATATTAATATTTTAATTTTTTTTAAAATTTTTTTTCATATTTATTTTTTTTTTTCATGTTCAATTCAATTAAACTTTCTCTCTCTCCACATTGCACTTAAAAGGCCCTTGGGACATCTACAAACTCTGCCACAACCATGCTTAATTGTTTTTGTTTATACATAATTAATATATGTAGTTGTTGTGGTATAATAATTGTCATTATAAGACATTTAAAATTTGGAAATTTTGCTTGAGCATTTGCGCTACATAAATAATTATTATTTTTATTATAATTATTTTTATTATAAATATTTTTAACATAATTAATTTTAATAAAATTTCTCCTATTCACATATTTATTATAGTTAATTTGATTATTATTCTCAACAATATTTGCATTATTTTCCCTATTGCAACATAAATATTTGTTTGGTGTTTTCATTGTTAAATTTCTTATGTTTATTTTTCGTTTACTTTCGGTTATTGTTTCATGTTCTTTGTTTTTGTTGCATTTGTTATATTTGTTGCTTACTGTGGTGTCATTTATATTATTGTTCAATGTTTTATATATAGTATATGCGTTGTGGTTGCGTCGCGTGATCGGTCAAGGAGAATTATCCGAATCGGATCCGCCTAACGAATGCATCGGAAATAGTGGATACCAACCGCCGATGCGCTGTGCTGCATCTATTTTGTCCAAATTCACTTCTGTGCCACCCAAGCCTTGATTGTGCTCGAAGCCGACGCAACGTTGCCAGACCATAATGACAATATTGCGTCCGAAAACGTCGGCGCTCTGTAAGAACGAGAAGTTGTGATTATATTTTTCATTTCTTTTTTTTTTATGCACGAGATCGTCATCATTCAGCTATGAATATAAGTAGGAATATAAAATAGTAAATATTAAAACTTCCCTTTTTACTTTTCAGATCAGATTTTACTGTTTAATTTTATTAAAAATTGTTTTGTTTGTACATAGTTTCAATTAGCGACCGATCTTCCGGCTTAAGACTAACAAAGCGCCATTGGCTTAACAGACGTGCTATGCAAGTATAACGGTGATGAGCTGACAAGGTGCAACCATTAGCTGCTTAGCAGAATCTGTAGGCTTTGACTTAGTCATTTTACATTGGACTAGATACTCATTTAACACCAAGCTCTGATACGTGAGCTGGTTTAATTTAAGTGCGCTTTCTTCTTTTCTATTAGCGTTGACACCGTTATCGTGATTGTATCGGTGTTATATCGACGTGCCCTTCGTTTCTTTTCTTAGTCGTTCGGTGCCAATCATATATACTACGCGAACCCGGGTCGTTCGCTATCTTCTTTTACCAACAGACTGGCGGTCTTCCCGTTTTTTCAACAGCCACCGGCGGCTACTGTAAGACAAACTTTGAGAGCTTGAGTATTGTCGCTATCTCTCTATTCGCTGAACTACTTCAGTGACGCCGTGTAGGCCGTTGCTATTACAAAGAGAAATGGATTGTTTGCAAAACATCTTTCCGAAAGGTCTGTATACTATTTATGACTGGAGTGATGAGCAACTTATAGAGTTCGGTTTCCTCTCGTCAAGAGAGGTTGAGAAATCTGATTTTATGTTGCCTTTCAAGACCGTAATTTTTGTTGGTTCTGATGCTAGTTCCAAAGTGGTTTAAATTAGCTACAACTTCATGGTTATGATTGTGAACAGTGTTGTGGAAAGCACGAAGTGGGGGATCTCACCTTTGTTTCATGATGGGAGATATTTCCTTTAGCCCTGGTTCATTACCTCACCCATTCGTCTCGTTTTCTAGTCTTAATAATGCAGAAATAATGGTCGTTAAGGTAATTATCATCCAGCACATGAGATGCGGGAAGAACAAGTTGTACTGGAGAGCCCTCCTTAGAAACACCTTGTTTTACTACCGAAGAGCTAAAAGTAGCGTCAAGTAAGCTCAACAGCAAAAACCGAATATGTACAACTAGGCAATTCGGGAGAGTAGACTACTACATTACCCAGCTGCTGTCTGGTCACGGATATTTCAGGAAATACCTGCATAAAATAGGGAAAGCTGAAGATCTGTCATGTATCTATAACGATGCTAATGAAGAAGACGCCAAGCATACAATCTTTCATTGCACTCGCTGGCAAGATGCGAGAATCAGACGTGAAGACACAGTTGAAGAGAGTAGAGTAGACTAGAGTAGTCTCAATTATGCTACAAAGCAAAGCAAACTGGGTAAATGTGAAGAAGTTCGCAGAAAAAGTACTACGAGCGAAAAAGCGGGATCTCGACGGAGGTGGCGAGATATAATCTCACTATTAGAAAAACGGAACGCCACCCTCAAGTAATGCGAAAGCAGTTCCAAGGTGGGCGACGGTTCGCTAGAGAAGAGTTTTTTTAGTGACCTGCAAGTGGCCTCTACCATTGATGTGAGGACACAATGATGATGTGGAAGCCATTTTACCTCTTTTGAAAAAAAAAAAATAAAATATGATCGGCGTACGAATCGTTTAGTTTCCACGCTTCTCGAAGAAGTTCTTCCTGAGTCTGTTTCCTCATCGGTATACTTTCTTCGGGATGTTATTCCGATTTTTTTAAGGTTTTTATAACGAACTAACGGTTTTTAGAACTAATCAGTAACTGCCATACATATTTTATAGTTTTACTGAAATAACAGATATTTTTGAACATTCGCTCCGATTGATACTAGGAATCTTGCTTGGTGCCTCTGGGCGTCAGCCTTATGAAGATGGAGGCACAGGGATTCAAAAAACTAGATCAATTCATCAAAGTATTTAGCTTCTCTCCAATTTTCGGAGTGCACATGGATGTTTTTCAAACGAAATTCTAACGACCGATGGGTTTTTATGAGTTGCCCTCATTTAATGTCAGAAATACACTCGGAGAGGTTGACAGTTCCTGCCGAGAGGCGACCGCAATTAGGGAAATGAATTTTCTATAATTTTTTATGTTTCGACAGACCGCCGCAAGTATAAAAAATATAATTTGATAAAAGTAATAATAATTTTCTCAACTGAAATAAATCTTGAGTGAACACATTTTGTAACTAGTACCAGTTTGGTGGGTTTCGGACCAGTTAGATTTCAGTCATAATTTTGCGGATTTTAAGCACTCTTTGTCAGCTTCAAAGGCCACTGCAGAGCGGAGGTATGCCCACGTATGCTGAACTGCAGGTTTTGTACATACATTAAATATTTAAGTACTGATAACGGTATCATGGGCACATGCTTACTGAGTCGTAATAATGCAGTGTTTCTGCTGAATGTTTTAGCGGCTAAAAGTCAACGCATAAAATGCGCAAATTTTACAAAAGTTTCCAAAGCAACTCGGGCGTGGGTGCACTCATACATGCGCAGTTTTATTTAACACCCATCCCACACACACACACACACATGCACATACGCGCTTACTGACATATGTATTTGGTGTTTGTATGTTCACAACGCTTCAAAGGTGCAAAGTGCTGCATTACTGCAGTATTTGCTTTCCCTGTTTTTATGGTTCGTGTGTGCACTTCTAGTTAAGAGAGGGAGGGGGGGGGGGGGGTGGTGCTTAGCGGATAATCAAGTGTCGCAGTGTGGTGGCGTCCTTGTAGGTAGCAAAGTGACTGTTGACCTGACCCTCATTTCATGATGAAGAGGAGTTATTTTTGTCCGAAACTTTTCACTTACCACAGCTGTGGTTGTTATTGTTGTTGTAGCAGTTCGCTAACGCCGCTTAGGTACAGGTTTGATCAATTTAAGTCGACGTGGTCATCTAATGGGAGGTCCAGGAAACGCGCTGTTTCGACGGGGTTGGACCAAGGGAAGAGGGGGGGTTAGATGAGTTGGTTTGAGAGAGCATGTAAAGAAGTGGTTAGTGTCGTGCGGAGACTCTCCACATGCAGGGCATACGTTGGGTATGCTGGGGTCTAGTGTGGATAAGTACGAGTTTAAACTGCTACAATATCCAGACTTGAGTTGTGCCAGGGTGACGCGTGTCTTTCGAGGCAGCTCGAGCACGTTGTAGAATACTGTGATTTTATTTCCACCCTTAAAAAATACTGAACGTAACTTTCGTAAGGTTATTGATATCTTAGTACTTCGTCTTCTTCTTCTTCGTCGTTAACAATAACGTGTCAGTCGGCTCTCCTCTTAGGCGTTCGCCATCAATGGTTGACACGAAGTGAAGCAAGTTCCGTCTACATCTGACCTTTTCAACGTAGTGGAGAACTTCCTCTTCCTCTGCTTCCAGCCAGAGCGCCTTTCCTGCGCTACTTGATACGTGTCCTTGGCTGCGTAGAAACGTATGCGCATCTTCGCTGCAAAAAGATTGTGGTCCTAGTCAATGTTACGAAATTAAAATGTACTTCTTAGACACTGGGGTCGTGCTTCCGTCTATTATAACATGGTCGATGTGGTTTTCTGACTTGCGATAAGGGGACAACAGGCAATGAAGGCGAACAACTTCGAATTATTTGAGAATGTTACGTCTTACAAGTTGAGTTTTCCAACTTTTCTACTTAAATGCTTTGCCAGTTTTGGCATGACGCCTCTGCGGGGGCAGCGCTTATATGTAAAAACTTTCCCTTTGCTTATGAAAGGCCTTCTTCGTCACATCGTACTCCCTTTGCATTGGGTCGTAGGTGCAAAACAGTGATTAGTTGACGAACTTCACTTTGATGGCGATTATGGTCAGGCTCCCATCCGCCGCGGCGAATTCCAGAATTGAGCGACTCAGTCCCTTTCGCACCACGAGTCAAACACCAACTTTGCGCTCATTTACATGTCCGGTGTAGCACATATCCAACTTGTTCCCGTCCATCGCGACTCGTAAACGGCGGTGGTACCAGTTTTAGTCTGACGAGAAGATCAACCAGGTGAACGGTGGCTATAAAATACTATATTTGCCAGAATTCTAATTGAAGCTAGTTCCTACGTGGCGCTCTCCAAGCTCATAATCCCTTTCCGAGGGTATGTTTAGATTTTGGACTTATTTGGATAGTGAGCTGATTGCCTCATGACCGCGACTGCATCTTTGTTGAATGCACGCTGCAATTAAACTTCAGCGAACTCTCAAATCTACTATGTTGGGGTGGCTCCACTGAAGCTCCTTCTTTTTTAACCGTGACTCATGGTCCTACACGGATTGGTTAAGGCAACTTGCACAAAGCTTGCTTGGGACCCGAAAGTAGGCATAGGATATAACCTGTAACTGCGTACCCAGTAGCTTGACACTCCTCTACCTTCTCATAAAAGCTCCAATAAATTATATTTTTCCTCATTGGGATGGTTGCCAGCAACTCAATCGCGGACATTATGCAGTACTAAATGCGTTCTAAAATCTATTTCCATCCATGCACAGACAGACACATGTGTTGAATGTGTGAATGTACTTGCACATAGTCGAATAATGGAGCTAAACGAGCACATTGGAATTAGAGCCACCCACGCATTAGGAAATCATCAGCAGTAAATTTTTTTGCAAATTGCGGAAATTAAAAGGCAGGACATGCAGGTGCACAGGTGTGAGTGTGTGCATAGCAGATAGAGAAGGTCAAACGTATATAGAGGGGAAAGTGGGTGTACCGAAAACTCCCAACTCTTCACGACCCATCGTCCACTCTACCATGCTGCCTAACCCTCGCCTTCATTAAGGACAGTCGCCTTTGGCCAACCCCACAGCTGTATAATCCAGTTTGTGGCATGTCGTGCACAAACAATCGCACATAGTTCTGTTTGTTTGCTGCCCGGGGACTTGAATGACGACATGGCATATAACGGGCAGTGTTTCACTTCGTCCAGCTTCAACGCGTTCTGAGCGTTCACAGTTAGTCTTTTCGTTGCATGCACTTACCTGATACTTGAGCGTCTGCTTGTACGTTGGCTCGGCTGAGTGCCGCACCACGCGTGTCTTCTTCTTATGCCGCAGTCGATCGCCATCCTTGACATAACATTTCACATATGTGTCCGGTGGTGTTTCACAGTCCACGGGCACTATGTTGCGTGCACGTATCACCTGGAATTAAGGAAGAGAAAACACAGAATGAACAGCTACTACGGGTGGGTAAGGGGTGGGAAAAGGTGCTGCGAAGCTCGTCTCATTGTTGTGGTGGTGATTAGAATGAAAGGGTAATAAAATCCACGGCAAAATGGCTTGTAATGAGCAGGTAGTTTATGTGCGTTGAGAAATATGTGCAGGGTTGCACTTATGTGGGAGCACATAGTCGGTTTGTGTTGCATGTTGGATGTGTCATATGGCATGTGGAATGTATGCATTGCGTAGCCAGCTATGTAGTCCTCGTCCGCAGTTAATTGAGCTTGTAATAGCGCGCAAATTTTCATTAATTTTACACGACTTCCAGATGGTGGCCCTACAAATGTAAGCGGATTGCCAAGGATTTTTTGGCTTGGCTTAAATATTAAGCTCACATTAACGCATCACAAGGGAACAAGGGAACCCAGACATCCATTGCGGAGTCTGAAGATTTATCTCAGACATAGCTAGAGTTGGATTGCTTCGTTGACACCGTCTTCTCATGTCAGGAGACTTCACCTGCAAACACAATTTTTTGAAAACTGGAAGCTCATTCTTAGCCATGGATTGTAGAGTCTAATCAGTCCTGATCCAGTAACTTCGGAAGTTGTCGTCTGTTCTAGATGTTTTATTTATCCGAAGTAACCGCTATTACAAGAAGATTTTGACCACACTTGGGCACCATTTCAGAAGTTTCTATTGCCTGAACTAAAGTTAATGAGCCTCTCAGGTTAAGGAATTTTGGCTACCTACTTTAAATAAATGTGTTTCTGAGGCTGGAATCTTCGCAGGGATGAAAGGTATATTTCCAAGAGATGCAAGAAGGGCGTCGAAGCATGGAAGATAGGATGGAAAAAATGTTTCTTTGAGGTGTTCAGGGCTGACCTCCATCTGAAAAATGTGGAGATATGAAGGATGACTATCCTTCTTTTAGTTTAGAAATTTATTATTTGGAGTTTGAGGGTTAACGCGGGGTGAAAAATTAGACGTGGTGTGGGATAGTGCGGCGTGACTATTGCTTTTTTCGGTCGAGAAATGATTGAGCGCTGTGGCATTTCAAAAATGGTGGAGCGAGGGAGTGCCGCAAGCGGTTTTGTTAGCCAAAATTACACGACTTATGTGCATGTTTTCGGCGCTGCTGGTAGGCGTCGAGACAGACAAACGTACAAGCTTTCGGGCATCCTGGGACTGTCTTTTCGTCTTGAATATCGTCTTTGCAGATTTCAGGTGAGACATTTTTCAAAAAGTGCATAAGTTGAAATTCTGGAAAGAACTCAAGATGAACCAAGGCTCGGGAGGCCTTCCGAAAATCTCGGGACGTCTTTTAACTAATTTCTGTGAGCCCAGGAGAACTTCTATTTTGTGTACTAAAGTTTTTTAAGAGTTATACCCAGTTCTTTATGTATGATAGGCTGCTGCGTTCGGTAAGTATTGGCTATATTCAAAACGCTTCAAGTCCCGCAACGGTAAATGCGCAGTCTATGTGGTATATATGGTCTAGTCTTCAACTTTTTCTCCATGTATTTACAAAACGACTGGAGAGCCTAGACAGAACGAAAGTCTTGAGATTCTTAAGAAAACAGTTGGAATTTGTTGGGTTTCCGTCTGAGGTTACGTCCTGATTTTTATACTTAAATTCAAATTATCTAGAAGAGAAAGCTGAAAGCCTTTTCTCGAAAGAAAGCCTCAGTTCTTTTTGTGTTGGGCTCATACTCACCTCCACTTCCACGGTGCCTTTGATTTTCGCAAATCCCATTTGCAGCTCGCCATGTCGCACCGTCGTCAGCCGGTAACCCTTCGGATGTATCTGCCCCGGTCCCATTTTGAGTCCATAATCCGTATCGATACCAGTTGTGGCGACTATTGTAGCCGTCGTGGATGTTAGGCTGCTCATGCTACCGGCATGACTGCCATGACTCAAGCTCTTAACGCTTGCGTGATGCGGTGCAATACTCTGCTTGCGCAACATGGACGGGCTATCACTGGTGCTGGCATTGTACATACTGCCCTTGCGTATGAGCGCTGACTCTGATGCCTCTGTAGCGCGTGCTGTAGCGCCGGCACCGACGAAAACACTACCTTTGCGTTGCAATGAACCGCTGCTGCCAGCATTGTTGGTGTCACGCTCATTTGTGGCGGCGTGTGTGTAAACACTGCCCTTACGCTGCAACATTGTGACCGGTGCGAGTGTGCTTTCAGTTGCCTTCAAATTAATCATACTACCCTTACGGAGCTGCTTGGGGCTATCGGTACCGACATTGAGCAAACTGCCGCTGGCACTACCGCTGCCGCTTGGTCCCTGCGCGGCTACATTCGTGGCCGAAGAGGCTTGCTTCAGCGCAGAAAATGCTTGCTTGCTGCTTTGTGGACGCAAATTGGTGCTGGAACCCTTCCAGCGTGGCGTAAATTGTTTGTTCTCCTCGTCTGAGGGTGGACTGGTCGCTGCATTACCAATACCCACCGGCAATTGGTGGTGTTGGTGTTGGTGTTGTAACTGTTGCTGCTGGTGTTGTTGTTGCTGCTGGTATTGTAACTGTTGCTGCTGTTGCTGCTGCTGCTGCTGCTGTGAAATGTCCAGTATAGAACCCTTGCGGCTGCTCGGATTGCTGGGTAAGCCAACACGACTGGCGCCTGTGTGTTGTTGTTGTTGTTGTTGTGAAATAGACAAAATTAACAACATTAATAACAGTACTTGCACTTCTAAAAAGCTCTCTCTCCTCCTCTCTCTCAGAGCTAAGTAAGAGCTTAAATATGCGGCACTCAAAGGCGCTCTGCAATGCACGAGAGGGGTGAGCGGCACGAGAGGCGCGAGAGGTGCGAGTAGCGCACAGCTCGATACTCGAAACGCAAAACTTCAACACAAAACTAATTTCAAGTATACTTAAGTAATACAAATATTATAATGTTCGTATGCCACTTATAGCGGTACTTGTTTCTATTTATATAAGTGTGTGTGTGTGTGTGTGTGCTAGGATTTCAATTACTACAATTTAAACTGTTAAAATTTTGTTTAATTTTTTTTTTTGATTTTCATTTTTTCAAAAAGAGAAACTTTAACTCAAAATGAACGTGGAGAGTGCATGCCGAGTGGAGAAATGTAAATGTACAAAAGCAACAATGGGATACATACATACGAGTATATATAAATATGTAAAAAGCAATCATGCAAAGCAACAGCTACTGATTCAGTGTAAAAGTGGAATTGTAGTTTTAGTTTAAAATTATTTGGTATACATATATACACGTACGTACATATATATTTATTTGATGTTTTTTAGGCAATTTTTTTAAGTAACTATGTGTGTCTGTTCTTTAAATTTGCTTTATTGGCTCTATTGTGATAATTTTTTCTAACAAAAACAACCCACCAAACACTTTTTGCTGCCTTTAATATCGCCATGGATTTCGCAAAGGTCGCAAAAACAGCTGGTACGATGAGGAATGCCGTGTCGCGGTAGGGAGACAACAGATTGCCTAACTTACAGCCTTGCGATCCACCACAATACACGCGGTGGGATAGATACCGGGAATTGAAGAGGGCTGAGATAAGTGAGTACGAGTAGCTTGAGAAGCTAGCCGACAAGGGTAGAGCTCGAAATTTCTACGAAGAGATACGTCGACTTACGGAAGGTTCCAAGAACGGAGCATACTCTTGTAGACCCAGGGAGGTGAGCCAGTGACGGATGCCTAGAGTATATTGAATTTATGGAGGGTACTATTCTCCAGTCTGCTGAATGACGAGTGAAAATGGAACACCTGCGTAATCCATAAATAAGGGGCCTTAGTCTGCTCTAATTATCGTGGGATAAGCCTCCTTAATATCACATAAAGATCATGCCGCGCGTGTTGTGTGAAAGACTAAAGTCAACCGTAAACAAACTATTGAACGTTATCAGTGTGGCCTCAGATCTTTTAAGTCAACCGTTGACCGGATATTCACCATGCTCCAAATCTTGGAAAAGGAGCTGCCTTTATGCCGCTATGTGTGAATTTTGTATCCCCGCAAAACTTATTTGGCTGTGTAAACTGACCTTAAACAACACTTAAAGCTCCGTCGGGATCGGGAAGCCACTCTCCGAGCCGGTCGATACCAAACGAGGTTTCAAACGAGGTTTCAAACGAGGTTTCAAACGAGGTTTCAAACGAGGTTTCAAACATGGTTTCAAACGAGGTTTCAAACAAGCTGACTCTTTATCGTGGAATTTTTTAACTTTATTTTCTGGAGAAGAAAGAATACGAGCTGCAGAGCTAAATAGAGAAGGTACAATCTTCTATAAGAGTGTACAGCTGCTGGCGTACACCAGATCCGATAAAGAGGCGAAGCAAATGGGTCTGGTAGTGAGCGAGGATAAGACGAAATATCTCCTGTCATCAAACAAACAGTCATCGCATTCGCGACTCGGCTCCCCCATCACTTTTGACAGTCATAACATTGAAGTCGTAGATAACTTCGTCTACCTTGGAGCCAGTATTAATACAAACAACAATGTCAGCATAGAAATCCTACGCAGATTTACTCTCGCCAACAGGTGCTACTTTGGACTGGGTAGGCATTTGAAATGTACAGTCCTCTCCCAGCGAACGAAAGCCAAACTCTAGAAGCCGCTCAACGTCCCCGTCGTGCTATATGGTGCGGAGGCATGGACGATATCAATTTCTGATGAGTCGACTCTAGAAGTCTTCAAGAGAGACAGCGGCTAGGCCAGCTGGGTCATGTCGTCCGAATGGATAAGAATACTTCACCTTCAGAGAAAGATCGTCCTACAGTGGGTATTACCGATCGGCCTCAAAAAGCGAAAAACGGTATCACAATGGGCCTACTGGCCTAAGTGTGCTGGTAATGCCCGAAATCTGCAGCAAATTGACTCAAGGAATGATGCACCGTTGTTAACTCGGCTATAACTGCATAAGCGGTGAATGCGCTAGTAAAAAGGAGGAAGAAGAAGAGCACATTCAGTTATGTCAGGGTTCTCGCATAATCCTCGCCGTTCTTAACTTTACCACTTGGACTGACTGGACTGGCGTTTGCCCAACTGACGCTGGACATTTTTGGTGTACAAACTTTGACTTACAAGAAAAAAGTTATTTTGATGCCTAACAGGATCAGATATATTTACTGAAAATATATATGAAATAAATATTTATTAAAGCATCCTTTGAGCATCCATATCGCTTTTCGTTTCATTTCTCAGTGCCTACATACTACTTTAATTGAATGCAGAAATATGTAAAGCTTTTGTAATAAATAACTGTACATATGTATGTTTGTATGTACACGAAATGCAAAATGCAATGTAATCGACTGTGATAGGAATATATTGAATTCTGCAAATTCATGGCAAACAAATAATTCACCATTAACCCTCTTTCAAGACAATTCTCCGAACTGTTCATGTCCTTGGATACTGAAATGACCACATTGCAATTACGAATATCAATGCAATACTTTGGTAGTTGAGAGCTTTTTGTCGGCTGCAAACGGAGAAGTCCTGAGGCTATCATCATTATAATCATTATTATTATTATTATTATCATTGTTGCGAAATGTTGAATTGCCAACAACCACAAATAACCACAAACAACTTAAGAAGCAATCAAATTTAATTGACAATAACCGGCGTACGATATTATTAAATACTTAACAGTGGACTGACTATGCATAAGCACATACGTTTATATATAATATGTACATAGGTATGCACGTAAAAAGTGAAGAATTAAATGTAATGGAAATGAAGCATTTATTTCAGCTGCATGTTGCTCATACGCCCTGGCCGACCGAAAGTATGCAAGTTAATTGTTTTGTTCTTCGTGGTTTTATTGAGTGTTAAATTATGAGAATTATTGAAAATTATTCAAAAAATTAAAAGCAGTAATCTTGCACCTTTTTTTAACAATTTGTTTTTGTTTTTGCGCTTCAATATATTAAATTAAAAAAATAAATTTAAAAACAATTTTTATGACCAGAGAGTATTATACTTTTTCTATTAATTTTCCATAGTCAATGTTTTAATAAAACAAAAACAAAGAAAACATATTTTACTACAGAAATCAAAGAAAACACAGACCCATATAATAGATGAACCGTCGATGATTTCGTGATACTAAATACAACTTTCTGAAAGGCAATGAAAAATGGAAAACAAAGAGAAGGCGAATCCCATTCCCTTATCGATGAAAAGAGCACAGACGTTTCCTTACACGACTCTGAAGAAGCTCAAATGGTTATTATCCGCTGGCAAAAATAAAAAAAATTGCGTGAGCTTTGTCCCTTTTACCTTCGCCATTGATTTCAATGCATTTCTCAAGCCTCTAGAACAACTTCTTCAAAATCTTGCCTTTTCAGCTTATTAACTTCTGCATAAACAGCCTTAAAAATCTCCTCATTGCCATCAAAGACTTTTCCTTTTAATTCTTTCTTAATTTTTGAAAATAACCAGAAATCTCAAGGTGCTTTAACCGGGGAATATGGTGCTGGACGTATTTCTTCCATCCCAGAGATCGCTATAAAATTACACGTTAATTCAGCAGTCTGGGATGACGCGTAGTCATGATGTAAAAGGTAGTGCCACAACCCCTCTTTCTACCTGTTTTTGACAACTTTTGGTAAGCACTCTTCGGTGCACCATTTTGCAGTTACCGTCTGACCTTCTCCAATGCAATAACAGCTACGATTTTAGCTCGGGTGAAGAAAACTGACTTCATTACTTTTGCTGGTGATTTTTGTTGCTTACATTTCATGGGTGGGTTTGTTCCTGTTTGGCTCCATACCATGGACTGCTGTTTGGTTTCTGGATCGTGCTCATATAACCAAGATTTGTCACCAGTAACGACTGTACTAAAATTGCTAGACAAACCATTTTCGAATTTTCTAAGGCAAAATTGAGCAAAATGCACTCCAACCTCTTTTTGGACCTCATTTAAAATTCGTGGTACCCATCGAGCATAGTTCTTCGTGTATTCCAAATGATTACTTAATATGCGCGATACAGTTACAATTCATTAGCAATAATTTCTTGTGTCAATCGTGAGCCTTCGTCATATTTTGGACTTCACTAGAGCAACAGTGACGTCATCAGTGGAAGATTTTTGGTCGACCTCACGGAGGGGATAAATGTCCGGTTTGGAATGCTTGGAATCACTTAGAAATAGTGTCTAAAGACGGTGCAATTCTTCTATATGTAACTTGGCTTTCACTGAATATTTGTATTGACGGTAAATTACGCCAAAACTCGAAGAGAATCACATGACGAATTTCTTTTTGTGTTGGTGGTGGAATTCTGTCTGACCTATACTGAGCTATCTTGTATTATCTTGCCTCCATTTTGGCCAATTGTATTAAAATTTGAAAGGAAGACTAATAAAAAAAATTCAAAGGATTTGGTATTTTTAGATTTAACGAAAACAAATTGAAAGTCGACAACTGATCGAACTTTTGTTAATCCCCTTAAATATTAGCTCAATTTCATTCTGTCTTCAAATTTAAGGCAAAACTTATTTATATTTGAAATGGGAATATGTTGTATGAAAGTAAATTAGTCAGGACAAACATCTGATGGGGTTTTTTTTTTTACTGCGAAGGGACCGCAATTAGAAAGGTTAACTTAAGTCTTCATTAAAACGCATTTTCT